AATGTTTGAACTTATTTGAGGCTAGATTTGATGAATCCGTTTATGATAATTGCTTAGGATTTTTTTTATGAACTTATATATATATATATATTGAAATTTAAATTATTGTTGTTTGTGAGAGACCGCTAATGAACGTTCCGTAAAAACTTGGGCATTGGTAGATTGGTTAAAGTGCTTGCTAATTTGGGACATGGAATTGGCTGAACACATTTAGTTAATTGTGATACCAAGTAAACATAGTAGTGGTTGTGTTGTTCTTAGTTGTCACACGAGTTCATACAAATGAACTTAAAGGATAACTTCAGTATATGTAGCTAGGGCTAGCAGTTTGGACCGGGACCGGATTGAAAACCGGAAACCGGACCGTAAAACTCGGACCGTTTTAAGACCGAGACCGGATGTAAAACAATCCAATCCCGTCTTTGGTCTCAGAATTAGCAAAAAATCCGGACCAATCCAATCCGGGTCAAAACCGTGTAAAAACCGGAAGACCGGATGAGTAAAAACAAATCAGACCAGAGGCTGACCCAAAGACAAAGCCCATAGGCCCAACCAAACCCATTACCCGGCAGCCCTTGGAGCCCATTTACAACTTTGTAGGGTTTGCTTTGCTGGTTGCAGATGCAGAGACCACCACTGACCAGCCGCTGCCCTCTCTTCTCTTCTTCACTCTTCACTCTTTCCGGTTTCCATCTTCTTCTTCGGCCACAAAGCAGAGACGCAGCCCCGCCGCCGAACAAAGCAGAGACGGAGAGCCTGCCGCCCCGCCGCCCGCAGCCGGCCGCCTCGTCGCCCGTTGCAGCCCCGCCGACCCGCCGCCCGTTGCAGCCCCGCCGACTCGTCTCCGCGCCGACCCAGGCACCCAGCCTCCGACCTCAGCGACGACGCGCCTACCCAGCGGCGACCCAGCTTCCGGCCTCAGCGCCTCCGGCCTCAGCGACGACCCGCCTCCGGCCTCAGCTCCGAGTCTCCGACCATCGAACGCGACGCCGGCTCTGTCATAGCCTCGTCGCCCTCCGTCCAATCTCGTCGCCCCCCGTCGACTTTTGAGGAACAGCTGCCGAACTTAGAAAAATGGAGTAATCCTAATCCGATCGACTCCAACTAATTTAGTGACCTTCACCCTTCCACCAGGCACTTTTGATGATGATTGCAGCTCATTTCTGAACCTTGAATGCTACTGGAATATATGGTCGTTGTCTATACGTCTTACTACGTTGTTCAAGTTACCATTCATGCTAACCTTGGCAAAATGATTAACACCGGCAAATGATCAGAGAGGCCAGCAAAAACTGACCTTACCTAGCGTATATATGTATGAGGGCCTATAGCTAATAGCTGATAGATGGGTATTTAGGAAAATCTAGAAAGGTACACCCTTTATGAAGTACATTTATAGACAGTGAAGTCGACTTCTTCATTATTAATCGAATCCATTTGGGCAACAAAAACCTCTTAACAGATCCCCTCAGGCCTCACTATACAACCTATTTTCCCATTCTGAAATTCAGTTTCCATTTCCACTTCCTGTCGCTTCAAAATTCTCCACCCTAGACTTCACACCATCCATTGTCCTACAAGCAATATCGATACATCGGTCTCGCCAGTACAGTAGAATGGATGAAGAGACAGGGCCTAGAAGAAGAGTGCATATTATTTACCATTAACCATCTCAAACCAGGCTTCAATCTGGCAGAGTGATCAGCCGCGATTTGGCATCGTAGATCAGTTCAGTCCCACAACTGTTGCTAAGTAGTTTTAGTTTATTAGTGAGTATGTTTGGCTTGATTTTTGCTACAAACAGGTTGTGATTTTGTATTGGACTATGTTTGGCTTGATTTTTGCTACAAACAGGTTGTCTACATTCCAGGAAAATGGGTATATGCTGCTGAATTTTCTGTAACATGATCAAAATGGGTCAAACAGGTCAAAACCGGGTTGGGACCGGACCGGGTCAAAACCGGACTGTACCCAATCCAAGCTTTGGTCCCCATATTTCTAAAAAGACCGGACTGGACCGGATCAATTCGGGCCAATTTAACCGGACTGGACCGTATCGCCACCCCTATATGTAGCAATTGAATAGTTAAATGAGATAGAGTTATACATATAAATATAAGTGGGGAGCTAGGAATGGGTTTAGTATTAGGTGAAATTTGAGTTCGTTTATTTATGTGATAAGAGTTAGCATTGACAAATTTTTCTTTATACCAATGTTTTAGATAGTCATTAATTTATTGAAACTTTTCGAAGGTGTTAAGCATCATATATTCCATCAAAGGACAATAATTTTCTTTTATAACGATGATTGACTATGTATGTAGCATAGGAAACAACTCTCATGTCAAGATAATAGCCAAACCATTTAAAATACAATTTAATAGAGATTTCGTCAAAGTTAGCGCCGAAGTTAATGAGGTTCATCCTCTTTTGTCGTGTAAATTATAAATCTTTACTTCCGTTCTCATCTCCTCCTCCTCCTTCTCCGTACGTTAATATTCTTACTATTTCTCCGTACATTAATACTCTTCCTTTTTTTGGAGGGCTTTTTATGGAGCTCTTGAACAATAGATGCAAAAAAAGAGGAAGAGTATTTTTGTGATGAAAAAATATAAGACGAATCTTTAATTTTTTTTAATATTTTTAATTAATATTTTTAATGTTTGAAATCAAATAAAATATTTTTAATTAATTTTGTGTTGTGGTATCGAAACACCCGGACTTACATATGATTTTGCTAACTCTTGTGCTAATTTGATGAAAACAAGGGATAATTAGCATAAAAGGTCACAAACCTTTGCACTAAGTATAAAACAGTCACAAACCTTTCATTTGTAATGATATGGTAACAAAATTTTGTACTTATAATAAAACAATTCAAATTAAACAGACTGAAAATTTCATACAAGTACAAACTTTTGTTACCGTGTGGTTACAAATTAAACTTTTGGTGACCGTTTTGTACAACGTTCAAAGGTTTGAACGATCAATCACTGTTACAATTCGCTCCAATCGAGGTATGATGGTTTTGTTAATTTACTTGAATGATATGATTGTAACAAAAGATGACAATACACATATGAAAAACAAAGGATGACAGTAAGGATTCAATGCCTCGCAAATGGGTTACATGCTGTTTTTTAATGGGAAAAACTCAGATTACTTTCTTACGTTCTCGATATTGGAATTGAAAGGTAAATATATGGCATTCTTATTCGGCAAAATAATTATATCAATGAACACACGACGCGACATCTCATGTCGTTCAAGTGGTAGTGTCATATACTTTACGAACACATGATCCGACCTCAAACCAGTCACAAACTTTAATTTGTAACGACTCGGTAACAAAACCTTTTCACTTAACACGAAACGGTCAGTAATTAAATAAAAGTGACAATTTCATACCATTTCAAACTATTGTTATTGTATCGTTACAAATTAAAGATTGTGACCGTTTTGTACTAAGTGCAAAGATTTGTGACCGTTTATGTTAATTACCCTGAAAATAGCTATTAAATTGTATTTCAAAAGGTTTGGCTACTATTTTGTACAAGATAAAATGTTTGGCTATATTGTTTTGGTTCTGTATTTTTGTTAACGTGTCAGAATGCAATATCCACACCATCAGCCATGTGAGCATAATTTGCCACATCAGAGTCAAATGACGTTTGATTGAATGAACAGTTAACGGTTTGGATATTATATTATTTTATTCCTTTTACTTTTGTTATTTGAAACTTTGTAAGGTGTCCTTTTTATAGTAGAATATAATCATACAAATAATTCAAAACAATTAATCTCACTTCTACATTGTTAACATAAAATTATATTTATAAAAAATAACATCAATACAATACAACATCTATCACGAATTAATAATCCAAATCCAAATTCCAACAGATGAAGTTACAAAAGTCTTCATACAGTTAGCAAGTACCAACTAGCAAGACATCAAACACAAACACTTCAAGATCATCATCATTCACAAACATTGAATAAACAAAGACAATAGGGGTGCGAGGTTCGCTATGACGACCGCATAGGGAAGTCATGGATCCGTGACTTTCAGGTTCTGACTAGTAACCATATTTGAGAGTTTATTCGGTAATTCATATTTGAGATTTTGGGTGGAGGGTTGTTTGCAATTTGTAATTCTTTTTTGAATTGCGACTTTGGTCAGCTTTGAATATTCACACTTTTTTCCTTAGCCAAAGTCTCAAACTATGTGTTTATACTATTAGGAAGTTATCGGGCAACCACTAGCCTATTGGTCGATTAGCAGCTAAAAACTAAGCAAAATACAGCTAACCGAAACCAAACCACTAAGAAATTATCGATTATTGGTTGATCGCTAACCATCTTTACTAGAACGGTTATAGTTAAAACGACCATAACCGATTACCGCTCCTAGAAGGAAGGCTTATGTTTGGTTGGCGGCTTAGACTAAACAATTAGGGTGAGTAACAGTTTGGTCTGTATCGATCGCACTGTAGCAGATTGACATTTGGACTGGACCATACCTAATCGAATACACTATCTTTCGGTCTTTAGTCTCAAGAATTTTATAAATACTAATGAAAAATGGACGAAATTGATATTTGGACCGTATCTGATGCAATGATGGTTATGTCTCTAGTCCTAACTTTTGTTTACTATTAGATCGTGGTCTGATTTGGTCCGTTTGCACACCACGTTTCAAAAAATAATATTTATCAATTCAATGTGTATTATTTTTAAAAATTCAAATACTTTGATGCAAATAAAAATATATTGATAGAAAAGTTGATCAAATATTGATCCAAAAAATTGATTTAAAATAAGTATTGAATTTTTTTCTTTTCGTTACTGGATTACACAAACAAAATTGAGAAATTATTATACCGCAACTGCAAGTACACATAATTTTCCACTTATTTTCCCCTATATATAAGATTCGTATTCATAACTTATTCTTTTCATAAACACACAAACTCACGTACGTACGGGTTTTTTTTTGTTTAATACTTCTTTCCTAATTTCTTACAAAATTCCAACAACCAATCGGTCAACTCAATCACGGCTTCATTGGTAGCCTTCATCGGTGGGGTGACGCCTTGAGCACTAAATGCCTCGTCACAATATCCCACGTTGGAGACGACCGCACTGAGCATGGTCTTAACTTCGCCGGTGCTCTTGGGAGAGCACTTAGGGTTCGCACGAATGCACTTCGCACACGTGGCGGATGCTTTGTCGAGGTTCCCCATGGCCTTGTCGTAATTCTCAAGGCACACATCCAAGACAGCACCGGTGTTGCCTTGTCGCCTGACCTTGGTGGCGGCAGAGATCCCTTCGTTGACCAGCGTCCTCAATGTTCCGATCTCGGTGTTGATGATCTCTGCCGGGTCATCGGAGCGCGAATCACGGAAGAACTCCATGCACTTGCCGGGGTTCTCGGCCCCCGAGCACAACTCCCTCACCAAGTCCGTCGGCTTGGTCATGGAGCTCTCTTGCATCTTGCGCTCCAATTTCATGGAGAACATTGTCGGGAACGAAGGGAACGAGGCATCGGGAGAGGGGGATGGAGCGGAGGAAGAAGCATCGTCGACGGCGGCGGCGGGAGTATCGGCAGTGGTGAGGTCACCGGAGACACTACCTGATGGAGAGGAAGCGTCAGCTATTTCAGCAGCTGACGTGGCGGAACTTGATTGCGTAGGGGCGGCAGATGATGACGGCGATGAGGAGGAGGTTGATGAGTCATCGACGGAGGGAGGAGAAGGAGAAGGAGCGAGGTCCTGTGAGGTGGAGATGGAGAGGAGAGAAGAAAGAGTGAGCGTAAAGATGACAAAGAAGAGTAGTGTTGTTGTTGATTTGGTTGAGAGATCCATCTTTGATTTTTTTCTTTCTTTTTTTGCTATTGTGTTAGGGTGTGGGTATAGGGAAAGGGGTAAGGTGGATTGAAGGGAGCTGAAAATATGAGATTAATATATATAATGGAGGAAACAGTTAGGATTGATTGGTTAAGAGTTTCAAACATTCTAAATTTGTAATTCTGTGTGTGGTATGATTTTGGAAAGTTTTCTTTGGTGGAATTCATTGGCTTGAGAATTTTTTGTCCTTTTTTTTCAATTTATTTCCACGAATGTGGGAGCTATAATTTAAGAGCTTTAATTAGTATACATGTTGCATTTTTTGTGGATCGAGGCTTTAACCTCTGCGTAGCAAACCTAATTTTTTAAAGTGTGGATAGAAAAAGTAGATAGTAGGGGTGTGCAACGGTCCGAACCAAATCCGGGAGAACAGCAATCCAATAGTTAGAGACTTTTATGAACTAAAGATCGGACCAACAGTGCATTTGGTCCGTTTTTTATCCTGTCCAAATGTCACTTCAGTCCATTTTTCTTTAGTATTTATAAAATTCTTGGAACAAAGGATCGGACCATGTTATACTCGGTTCGATGTGGTCCGGTCGAAACTTTGATTTGGTCTGGTGCAGCGCGCTACAGTTTGAACCGAACCGTTGTATACCCCTAGTAGATAGATAGCCTCATAATTTATTCACGTCATTTCAATTGATGAAATTTACTATAGATGTTAGTTACCAAATCATATTAATGATTTTGTGTAGGAAATCTCAAATAAAAATAAGATAAGGAGGTATACCCACATTGCAAGCAAATATAGTTGTACTTGTACAATATCGACTAAATTACTACGTTGGTCACTTAAAATCAAAGTTTGGGTGGTAGAAATTAATTTTGATTATCTTCCTCGAGACACCGAAGTCTAATGGATTCTTCCCTTTCTCACCGTAGGAAACGACGGCAGATTCAAATTGAATGGGAAGATCTGTTTGTGATGAAGAAAGGAAGGAACTGTTAGAAGTGTTGGGTAGTCAATTGTAATTAGCCTTAAATTATGGGGTTAAGTATTGGTTAATTACCGTTTGGAGCTCGAGATAGGGTTGACACGATTAGGGTATTTATATGTTGATTAGCCGTATGTGTAACTCAAGATTTCTCGGTGAATACAATTGACTCTGAGAGGTTGCTCCTCTCCGTGGATTAGTCTCAACAATACGTTGAGGATAACACGTAAATCAGTGTGTTCTTATTTATGTTCCTTTGCTGATTTTGTGTTTAATATGGTATCAGAGCCTCTCATTTGGTCAGGGCTTCTGTCGCGCCAGCTTCCGGGTTCGTCGCGTTTTGGTGGTGTGCGATTGGTGGCTGTGTTCTTCTTCTTCTGGGTTTTCTGTCTTGTTTGGTGATTTCGTCTGCATCATGGATGCTTCCAAGATCGACATAGTTTCTATCAGGTTTAATGGCAAAAACTTTGCCCTCTGGGAACTTCAGTTCTGGCTCTTTGTTCAGGGGCGTCATCTTTTGGGTATTTTGGATGGCACGATGGCCGAGACGGCTTTGGATGCGACTACGAAGGCGAAAGAACCTCAGTACCAAATGCTTGGCAATCCTTGGTAGAGCTTATTTATGATTTCGTGATGAACCCGGTAAACGAACAAATAGGTGGTCTTTCCGGAAATGTTAAACAAAAGTTTTTCCCTCGAGACTTGGCAGTCCAAAACGCCTAGGTCATGGTGTGGTTGCTTGGCTCTGTCGACCCACTAATTACGTTGAGTCTGTGTGGGTTTCCTACCGCGCACGCCATGTGGTGTCACTTGTCTGAAGTTCAATCACAATCTAGTCCTTCTCTCAAGTTTGAGGTCGAACTCGACCATGCTCGTCTGCATCACGGGGATCTCGATGTTAGGTCCTATTACCAGGCGGTTGTTAGCCTTTGGACGGAACATGATCTCATCACTACCACTTCGCTATCCTCTGCTGCTTCGGCCGAAGTACTACAGGAGAGGGCCAGCTTGAAGTTAATGCACTTTTTGATGCGGTTGCGGGGTGAATTTGAGGGTATCCTTGCATCTCTTTTGCGTCAGAATGTTACGAATATAGAGGAGGTCCTAGGCGAGCTGGTTCGTGAAGAAGCCAGGCTAAGTTGGATGTCCATCATCCCGATTATGCTCCCTCCGCATTTGCAGTCTCGTCTGACTCTGCTGAGAAAACTGGTACGCTTGATAATGTTGTCTTTGTTGTTAGAGCGGACAAACCTCGCTTTCATCGTACTCCTAGCGGTGAGGTGATTTGTTTCTTTTGTAAGGAGTCGGGGCATATTCAAAGTCATTGTCCCAAGCGTGCCGAGTGTAACTATTGTAAGGCAACTGGTCATAAAATCGGTGATTGCCCTATCTTAGCGAAGCGGGGTTGGAATCGCCCTCAAGGGTCTTCTTCTGGCTCGTCAGTGTCTTCTCAACCTGCTCCTGTGGGCTCGGCCTATGCTACCACTCCCGCGCCTGCCCCCTCTCCAGCTGGGTCTTCTTCACAAGGTGTGAATCCGGAATTTCTTCGCCAGCTTGTTCAGGAGGCAATTAAGGAGGCGCTTACCTCGACACTTGGCTCGGTCTTTACTACGAGTCTGCTCTCTAATTCATCCTCCTCCTGGATTCTTGATTCAGCTGTGTTTAATCACATGACAGGGTCTAGCGACTTGTACAGTACATCACGACCTCGTTCCTCTATTTTGTTGCAAGTTGCGGATGGGTCGTGTTTATCTTCTATGGAAATGTGTGATGTTGATCAGTCTAGATTATCTCTTTTTGATACTCTCTATGTACCGAAACTTATTCCCAGTCTCGTGTCTGTGGGTCAGCTCACTGAGGATGGCTGTCGGGTGATCTTTGATATCAATGGTTGTGTTGTGCTGGACACGAGAACAGGGAGGGAGCTCGGCCGCGGGACTAAGGTGGGCCGCATTTTTCAGCTGAATCACTACTCTAGGAAGCCGTTCGTGGGAGAAGAGGCTGCTGGTTCAGGGGGTGGTTCCGCAGCTGTTAGTGCAGATTCTATTTTTGGGAGTGGTTTTAATTTCTGCTGTTCAGTTAATATGTCAAAATGGGTTTTGTGGCACTGTCGGTTGGGCCATCCTCATTCAGCTAGATAGTTAGAGATGTTTAAGAATAAATTACTTCAGCTTCGAATTCTCGTGACTGTGTTCATTGCATTGAGACTAAACTCTCTCAACAGTCTTTTGGTACTAGTACTACTATTTATTCGGATCCTTTTGAGCTTGTTCACACTGACTTGTGGGGTCCTTCGCCTGCGACTTCTCGTGTTGGTTTTCGTTATTTCGCAATTTTTGTTGATCACGCTACCAGATTTACGTGGGTTTATTTCCTACATCATAAATCTGATCTTCTCTCGACTACTAAGGAATTCTTACAGATGGTGCAAACTCAGTTTGGGTGGATGGTTAAAATGATGTGTTCCGATCCCGGAGGGGAGTTTGTGTCTGGTCCTTTGTAGGAAGTATTCTGAGCATTTGTCATCTTGCCTTAGTAGTCGTGTCCCGGTACTTTGCAGAAGAACGGTCTGGTTGAGCGGAAGCACGTACTTGAACTCACCCGAGCCTTACTGTTTCAGTCATGTGTTCCTACGTCTTTCTGGGTCGAAGCTATTCATACGGTAGTCTATCTTATTAATCGACAATTGACACCTGTTATGGATCAGAAGAGTCCGTATGAGCTGCTCTATGGCAAGAAAGCTGATTATCATCGTTTGTGGGTGTCTGCTATGTTCTACTACCACGTCGTGAACTGATAACATCGGATTTGCACATGTTTGCACCCTCGTTTCTTGATCATTTTGGCTTGAGTTTCTGCTTTCTTGGACTATTTTATGCTAGGTTGTGTTACTTTGTCACATTTCAGGTCATAGCATGTAAATTGAAGCATAGGCGCAAGTTTCAAGTCAATCAGAGATCATTTGGCAATTCGGGAGAAGAAACACGAGCATGACCTGAGGAATAATGGACTTATACCTCATATTATGGACAAATAATCATGGAATTTTGTCATGAAAAGAAAGAGGACGAGACTACGAGCGTCTGGGATCAAACGGCGACTGATTCGGAGTCCGGACGAGGGAGAAACGAAGCATTAAACAGAGGCTGAGCAAGCCACACGGGCATCCTGGAACTCCACACGGCCGTGTGGGTCGTGGCCATGTGAAAATCACCGAGCCTTCACACGGGCATCTGGGAAAGCCACACGGCCGAGCGGCCTGGCCACGTGATCGGGAATTTCTGTTTAAAACCCGATTTTCAGCAAAAGGAAAGGGGAGAGCTGGGTTTTTAGTTCCCAAACACCCAAGGGACAAACCCTAGAGAGAGAGCGACTTGGGAACATTCTTGGAGCTATTTCGGAGGATTTCTTCGCCATTGGAGCTCGGGAATCAAGCTTGGAGATGGAGATTGAAGATCTAGATCAGATTTCTGCAGTCTCTCTCTTCTCTATGGAGTAACTTTCCTTCACTTAGGTTTTGAGGAACCCTAGTTCCATGTGTTAGGATCTTTCTTGTATGAAGTTTTGGATGCTATATTGTGTGATTATAATCGATTGAGGCATGATTTGTTGAGCCAATTGAATTCTGATCAAATTCTCTTGATTTCTGCTTTAACCTATGATAGATAGAATCTGATTAGGTTAAGAGAGCTTCCTTGATTGATAGTAGTGAATTGGTTGTGCGAGAGTCAATCAATTCACTGCTTTGTACTGGAATTCATTCTAGTAGTGGAGATCTGTGTGAATCGCCTTAGCAGTCTATCCTGGTGAAGGCTAGTCGCCTGCCGGGTATTCTGTCTAAGAGGGCTTGGTCAGCTTAAGAGATTCCAATCTAATTTAGGATCTTCCGCAGTTTAATAATCAGTAGATCAACCAAAGGTAATTGCAACTTGGACCTAACTGAGGAGCTAGGGGGAATCATACCTAAGTGAGTTCCCAACTTGTAATTAGTAGAGTAGTCAGTAGAGTAGTTTATAAATC